AAAGTCTGTCATTCCATCATGTATTTGGTATTGTAGCATTGGTCAAAGCTGTGACTGTTGTTGACCAAACGTCCATATTAATTTTATAAATACTGTATATTGTATGTTTTCCTTACCTGTTACTGTTATTGTTGCCTTTGACATCCAAAGTAATTTGGTATGGAATTTTATCATCTTGAAAAGATCTGAAAAGCAAATATCTTATTTTAAAGAAATCTAATTAAAAAGATAAATTTATTTTGGTGTTTTCTGTTTTGTGTTTTTTTTTTAACCATAAATTCAGTTAATTATTCGCACATTTGGTTATTAAAAACTTCGTCCTGAAGAATTTTCCAAACATAATTTAATATAAACATAACTTCATTTAAATAACCGCAAAATTAATCTTCTTAGGAACGATTGTTTTCCATTCAATAATTTCGAACGAAAGCAATGATGTAAAAACTAATATGTACAAGGGTTGTTCAGACCGTCGTAAAATATATTAAGATATTTATTTTTTATGAATACTTGAAACAACCAATTCGAATGGTGGACACAAGACTACAACCACATACTTGTACCCTAAAGATATCGTATTGAATTTATTTTCAATTAAATAAATAAATTATTCAGAGGCTTTAAGAAACTGTATCTTAACCAAGTGAGTTACTAAAATTTAAACAATCTCAATATAATATATTCTATTTTTTCTAGTAATTGTAAAATTCATAACAAGTTTTGGTGTGTTTCTGGAGAATATACCGCTTTATAAAAGATTAGATAGCTTTGACTTAATGTGTTACCTAAAAACTAACATTAACGAAACATTTGTAAAATGAACTTGAATTTAAGTCTTACCTTTTATGAAGTAAATATTCGGATGTTACAGAAATTATGCCATAGGAATCACTCATTGCTACCAAATTTCAAATATCGTATTTTTGTTGACACACACACACACACAAGGAAATTAATGACAAAACCACAAATGATGAATTGTGTAATTATTATATAATTCCAAATGTCTTTATGCAAATATGAGGTGAAAGGTTATGAATTTCCACTTTGTTTATCAGAGAAAGGTTTACTTTTATTAGGTCAAATACATATTTATTTCCTCTTAACGCGTCAAAGTGTGCTTGTTTTTGTTTTACGTCATAATCATTACATGAAAGTTTTACGTAAATCGCTTGTGAACTTTTTATTGTGTATGTGCATGCGCAAACTTTAAACATTGTATGAACTTATACAATCAACTAACAGATGACGACGTTTTTATTTCCTCAAAAAATGACATGACAGAAAACTACTGCAGAGTTCACTACAACATTGAATATAGAATTAAAAAAAAAAACAATGATATAATGATTGTTTGGTAAAATTTCTCCAAAGGAGCAATCTAGCAGCATTTTTTTAAAACACAACAGATGATCTTAGATATATTGTTAACACAGGGTTTCGAGATAATAATGGAGATATGCAAATTTTGGGATATCCTCGGCTCAATTGTGAGTGTTTTTGGAAGTGAGATGATTTATAATAACTGTTTTAAAATTCCCCGTTGATAAATTAAGAGTCATTAGAAATTAAGGCTTCAACTCCCTTTGGAAAAGTTGACAATAGAAGATTTTGGCTAATCCTTTGTAGGTCCTTTTTTTACATATATAGCTTCTAACGTTTCTTTACGGCTTTCAAATGGAATTTTGCTTGGATCAACACAAGGAATCAATTTGAGGTGGTTGATTTATATTTTTTGAAACGTTCATAGGTTTCAACTAAAAACTACATTTCCCTTCAACTTGCGTAAAAATTCAGATTCAATATATGTAAAGGACGGGATATTTAAATTGTGGATGTTGGCAAGAATTGACGTGAATCGAATAGATGTGCATGTCAAAAGGCAAGGAACAGTGCATGTCGAAAAGCAAGAAAGTGTATGTAGAAACGAAGGGCAAATGTACATTGATTGATTGGTGTCTAACGCCACTTTCAGCTCTATTGTGCTATTTCGTGACGGTCAGTTTCTATGGATGGAGAAAGCCCGAAGTGTCTGGAGAACCTCCGAACTTAGGCAGGAAAAATTACAATCCTAGTCAATTAAGGTTGGGTCCAAGCGCACCTTTTACGTTCTGTATTTGAACTTACAACCTCGGTGTTGATAGGCTAGTGAAACAGTAGTTCGACTTTTTAGACCACTCGGCCATAGAGGCTTCTGGGCTTATGTGCAAAAGTAGATGTCATCCAAAGTTAGTTTGTAATAGTAAAATGATTTATTTTAGAATATTGTGCTTAGGATTTACTTATGAATGTTTGTAAAGATGTCTAAATATGATTTTTAGAATAAACATTTTCCTTATAAACAGAACTCGTTCTCTTCATCGCAATTATTATTTATAATCCCTGGTAGTTTTTCTGGTGATTGTGTATAGTTCCTGAAAACTTCAGTGCTTATATAAAAAGTAAAATAACAAAAATACCGAACTCCATAGAAAATTCAAAACGGAAAGTCCATTATCAAATGGCAAAATCAAAAGCTCAAACACTTCAAACGAATGGAAAACAACTGCCATATTCCTGACTTGGTACAGTCGCATAAAATTCCATTATATTGACAACAATGTGTGAATAAGATAAACAGACTCGGAGTTCCCAATTCTCGAATCTAGTAGTCTTCTTTTTGTCTACGGAGAGGTGTTGCAGGATAAGGATTGTTAGTCCTGTGGTATATTTTTGCGTTGATACTTTTAAACAATGTCGCTTGCATTCCTGTTGATGTCTGATCTGTGGCGCACATACGTTTCATAGACATATACCAATCTGGACCGTGTCCATGATGACGTCTGTTTATCTAACATCGTTTTCATATAACTGTGTATTTTATCCCTTTTTAATCACAGTAACACATTTATGTAATATTTTGACACCTTTTTTTTATCTTTTGTACCATATTTCAGTTTGTAAATTTATATAATTATTCTTTACTGTATATACTTAGAGTTTTTTTTTTAATTAAATAACGCGCTTTATAAATATTGTATAATACAAAAAAGGTATTGTATACATGTTCAGGACGAGAACACGTTAACAATTAATACAATAAGTAGGTCCTGTAATAGAGCCATCCGGGAGGTTGACGGAGGTTGGGGAAATTTGGACTGCCACTGGAAAATGAATGTATTTTGGATATGGACAGAAAATATTGCCTTGCAACAGGCCATCTACGCACCCTTCAAAGAGTTACTGCAAGGGTTCTTAGTGTGTAGATGGCATGGCACTCTCTCTTCACGAGGCATCGGATTTTACGTCCCCATTCTTACCGGACGTGGCTACGTACTTGTACATCCCGAACAACCAAACGGACGTCCCACTTTGACAAGGGTATTACTTCCGGTCGAAGGAAGACCCAGTCATCTTTTGCGTACAGTGTTTCAAGAAACTGTATCATGTTTATATCGAAAATTCAGTTCTAGACCACGACAATCAATTCTTTACTTTTTATTAAACCTGAACCAATTATGTTACATAGCAGTAAAGAAAAAGAAAATCTATGAACGGTACAACATTGGTCCCCATCGCATTGTCGATCGCCTGTAGGAAATTCACCGAAAATGAAAAATTAATAAATAGGCACATCCAATTTAATGTAAATGTTTAACACTATCTGCCCTGAACTTTGAGTCGTTCAAATCTCCTTGATGCCTAACAAAGTGATTCTATTGAATTGATCTTCATTTGTTGTTTTTTTTTATGTTTTCCATGCATTCCCATTTGTTATTAACCTTTCTCATAACAGTTGTAAGGTGATTTGGTGTATCTATTTTTTTTTCTTTCAGAATCGGTTAGTTCAATCTTCCTTCGACGTTTGTTAATATTTTCTTTAATCATGGTTTTTCCCTTTGCGCTTGCGCTGTGCGATTATCGAATTGCTAACGAGAGTTGTTGTGGTTGAAGACACTGCATATGGAAAAGCCGTTGTCGAATTAGAGTACTGGAAGACAATAATTCTATAGCAGCACATTTTTTTTCAGATTTTCATGATATTTTTTTTTTTATAGAAAGTCTATAATCGGCTTTAAATCCTGCTATTTTCACATCAAATTCTTAATTAATGGCCAAATTAAAAAATATAAGGAAAGCGAAATCCGTAATATTAGTGTAATTAAGGTTTCTGACAGGGTATATAAAGTGACTTCGTCTTCCACCTCATGGAATATAAATCCTAAGCCGGAATTGTTAAAATATATAAATTATTATATGCCTGTCTGAGACCTGAAGAACATATGATATTTTTGTCGATTATTTGACAAGTTTCATTTCAAAACTAAAAAATCACTTTGCATCGGCTTTTTTTAATATCTACCACAAGGAGTCCAGGGCAGCTTATAGAGGGATCTCTGCTTCTATTTTACATATCCTATTTTGCAGGGAAAATACAAATGGGTGAAAAAATACTCTGTACATAATATATTCTATATAAAAGCCAGAATCTGTTTTAATTAGTGTTCTACACACATTGAATTCTTGCATTTTCATATAAATTTATCCTTTTAATGCAAATTTTAAAAATATATATAACTGTTTTTTTTTTGGTTTTTTTTTTTGTTCTTTCTTATATTTCTCATATTGAAATGGGTCTCAAAATAAGGCATTACAACTTTTTCCATAGAAGAAAAAACATGGATTTACAAGCATCAGCAACGCTCATTGCCAACCAATTGTAACCAAGAATCTATAATAACCGAAATATTTGAAGAGATTTCTGACCAAAAAGAACTAAAAATAATAGCCAAATCCATCTAATGTCAACTTTGCCATAATACTGTCTCTTTTTGTAAAATTTTAGAATGTAACTGTGTCGTTCACAGTAACCAAACCGGGTTAATGTAAAGTTGTAACATTTAAATACCAGATTCGTGCGTGTGTCCCGGTAAATGTTTTATTGTTTTATTTGTACAGTTAAAATATTTCTACTTATTTTGTGTTATTATTTCTACAGATCAATGCAAAAAGATTTTAGATATAGTTAACTTTTTTATTTTATGTAAATCAGTAAATCAGCAGTCTGTATAAAAAATGTGGATTTCTTTTTTGTTTTAAACTAACTATCGTGTATAGCCTTTTGACAGTCTACTTCTTCGGCAAAACCTGTGGCAATTAACAGTGACACATTCTTTATTCGTTGGACATTCTTCGTTTGTATGACACAGTTTTCTGCAATCAGCTGACCCTTCATTTGCTGAATGAGAAACTATTCTGGAACCAGATGAGCCAACTGATCCACTTCGTCTTGTAGAACTTGTGTCCATTATACCTGTGCCACTTCCTCCTAAAGATATTGAGTCCAAAATATCTGAACCTGTACGATGACCTGCTGATGAACGACTGCTACCTACACTAGTACCAGATAAAGCTAAGCTGCTTGTTGAAGAATGACCAGACCTACCAAGAATACCTCCTGAAGATCTTCTAGCGCAGTAGCTGCTGCATCCTTCTTGTACACAAGCATATCCCGATCCACAAGATACATCTTTCCCACATTCATTTGTACATTTTGTAGATGATCTGCCAACCCCAGATGAGACACTGGACATTCCAGATTTTAAATTTCTTACTATTTCAGACATGGTGTTTCTACCAGATATAGAATCCAATAATCCAGATGAACCAATCACACCTCCAGAAGACATTTTAATGCAGTAGCTGTCGCATCCTTCATGAACACATTTATATCCCGATTCACATCGTTTATCATCCCCGCATCCGTAGGCACATTTTGAACTTGATCCGTCAACCCGAGATGAGCTTCTGGACATTCCAGAGTGGGAGCTTCTTACTATTTCAGTCACGGTGTGTCCACCAGATATAGAATCCAATAATCCAGATGAACCAATCATACCTCCAGAAGACTTCTTAACACAATATCTGCTGCATCCTTCTTGAACACATTTATATCCCGATCTACAAGGTATATCTCCTCCGCATTCTTTTAAACATTTAGAACTTGATCCACCAACCCCAGATGAGACACTAGACATTCCAGATTGGGAACCTCTAACTATTTCAGACACGGTGTGTCCACCAGAAATAGAATCCAATAATCCAGATGAACCAATCATACCTCCAGAAGACATCTTAACGCAGTAACTGTCGCATCCTTCGTGAACACATTTATATCCCAATTCACAACGTTTATCATCCCCGCATCCGTAGACACATTTCGAACTTGATCCGCCAATCCCAGATGAGCTCCTGGACATTCCAGATAGGGAATTTTTTACTATTTTAGACATGGTGTGTCCACCAGATATAGAATCCAATACACCAGATGAACCAAGCATACCACCAGAAGAAATTTTAACGCAGTATCTGCTGCATCCTTCGTGGACACATTTATGTCCCGATCCACAAGATACATCTCCTCCGCATTCGTTTACACATTTTATACTTGATGCGCCACTGCTTGATGAAACCCTAGACATCCCATGGCCAGATGATGAACTTCTAATAACTTCTGAATTGGTGTTTCTACCCGATATGGTTTCTGACAGTTTTGGAATACCAATTATACTTCCAGAACTTTTAACACAGTAACTGTTGCATCCTTCGTGAATACATTTATATCCAGATTGACACGGTTTTTCTCCTCCACATACATAATCACAGTTACTGCCTTGTCTGCTACCATCTCTTATACCACTAGACATACCAGAGGATGAACTTCTGATAATCTCAGACACTGATGAGCCTCTTCGTAATGTATCAGATAAACTAGATCCCGCAGATGATTCTAAACAGTAACTTCTACACCCTTCTAGTACACATTTGTGTCCTAAAGGGCATGATTTCCCTTGTCCACAAACATGGTTACAGTTATCGTCATCGAGGGATACAACACTTGACATGCCGCTTGAAGAACTTCTAATTATACCAGACACAGACTGCCCTCTTCCTGTTGCACCAGACCCAGCAGAAGCGTGTGCTATTAATTTATCATTAATTCCAAGAGACGATCCGATACCACTTGCTCTCGATTTGCTGCCGGCCTCAGTTAGTACGAGTGTTGTATGTGTGCCGCCTTGACGGCCAACTGGACTTCTGCAGTAAGTTGAACAGGCGCTTAGTCGGCAGCATAGCTCGTTTCCTGGACAGTCGTGGTCATTTGAACATTCTTCCTTGCAAACTGCTAGTTCAGCATGTGTTTCCTTTGGACAAGTTCCACCTTTTTTCTTTTGGGAATAAGCTATAAAAATAAAGATTTTAATAATAAAAAAAACGATTGCAGTAAGAAAATGCTGTAATGATGTTTGAAAAGGTAGAAGCGAAAGGAAATATAAAAAGAAATAATATATTTGCAGATCAAAATATGCAAGAAACAATGAAAATTATTTCGTACATAAAAATACTGTTACTGATCGACAAAAAAGTTCAAAATAATTAATTTGATACAGTTGATTATTACTTTGTTTCTGATTTTGTTTCTATTCATTTTATTATCATGGAGATAAATTGAAAATTTTAATAATTTATTTTGTAAATTGGTATTACCTTCTAGTGTCACTGTGGCAACTGTCATCAACAGAAATATGGTATGGAATATTATCATCTTGAAAAGACCTGAAAAGTAAATGACAACGTTATTTCAAAATTTATAAAAAAAAATATATATATATTATCGTTTTTTTTTTTTTTTTTTTCCCCATAAATTTGTTATTTATTTTCACTCTTAGTTTTCGAAAAGAATTTCCTGAAGCATTACTATATATAATAATAATGATATAAAAAGCTGTATTGGTGTATTGTAAGAAGTTTTCTTTCGAAATTCCTTTTTTTTCTTTTTTTTTAATCGGTAATTTTTAATAAAAACACTGATAATAAACAATAAAATGGTTGTTATTCATTAAAATTATTGTAGAAATATTATGAAACTGCGAATTGTTTTCATACTAAGAGTAATTAAATCTAAGCAAAAAAACAGACTACAATCAATTCTCTTTTCAGCCATTTCATTTAACCACATTTTCCCTAGTAAGTATAAAACTAATAACAGTTATGAAAAGTCTTTCTGTAAAATACAATCGCATATTAACTAAACAATTAAAATTTAATTCTAAAACAAATATCAATAATTAAAACCTACCTTGTTATGAAGTAGTTATTATATGTCGAAGTAATTATGGCTTTGTCCCTCGGAATCACTCTTTTATACCACATTTTAAATATTTTGTTTTTTTGTTGACACACACTGACAAGGAAATTTATGACAAAACCGCAAATGATGAATTGTGCAACGATTATAAAATCTAAAGATGTCATAATGCAAATCGGAGGTAAAGGTGAAGTAAAGAAGTTCTGATATGCATGTCAGCGAAAATTGAATTTTTACTGCGGCGAATCTATATTGTATTTCCTCTTAATACATCAAAGTGTTCTTGTTTTTTTTATAACGTCATAATCAGTACCTGAAAACATCATAATCAGTACATGAAAGTTGTACGAAATTACGCTTTGAACTTTTTATTGTGTATTTGCATGCGCAAATCATACATTTCGTATCAACTAGCGACTTACACAATCAAAATACGAAGCAAGACAGATTGTATTTCCTCAAAGCGTTAGATGGGTGTAACTGAAATCAAACGTACTTATAAACTTGACCGAGAAATACTGCTTCATTCAATCTTTGAACACTATGATTGATTGATTGTTTGTTGGTTGCTTAACGTCCAGTGGCAAATATTTCATGCATGTTCAGGACGAGAACAAATTAACACTATATAATAGGTAGGTCCGGTAATAGAGGTCAACTAGGTTGCGGGTCGGGGAAATTTGGACTGCCACGAGAAAATGAGGGTATATTGGATAGGGACAGAAATTTAGCCTTACAACAGGCCACCTACGGACCCATCAAAGAGTTTTTGCAAGGGTTCTTAACGTGCAGAGAGCGTGACACTCTCTCTACACGAGGCATAGGATTTAACGTCCCCATTCTGACCAGACGTGGCCGCGTACTTGATACATCCCGCACAGCCAAACGGACGCCCAACTTGGCAAGGGTTTTACTGCCGGTGGAAAGAAGATCTGTAGTGACCATATTTCTATTCCCCAGTCACCCTTGGGAATTTGAACACTATGACATTGAGTTTTGAAAGTAACGCTGAGACAGGTTGCGCATCAACAGAAACACCTTGAAATGTTTTGTGTATGATTAGGGCGGGTATTGATAAGTGCGCGTAGAAGATACAATAATATACACCTATTGACTGGTTATAAGGGTAATAGCAAGTTTGTTTTCCCTGAGATACCAACTATTGCTCGAGGTAAAGCCGAGATCAATAGTTAGTATCAAAGGGACAACAAACTTGCTATTACACTCATAACCAGTCATTAAGTGTTTTATTATACCGAACAAAACAACTTTCTAAAAAGACTACATGTATACACCACTTGGAAAAACACCAAATAGTCACATAGAAATGCACAAGATGGTTTTTTTTGCCCGTGTGGTATTTGTCAATATTTTAATTACTGTAATCAAGACCAGGAATCCTTGTGTAAAAATTCCCGTACATTTAATAAACGCTAGCTAAATATTTTACCATACACCACAGCAATCCCAGATTATGAAGACGAAAACATACCCGTACCATAAATTTGTAGGTTTTAGTTCTTAAAATATGTTGCGTAGATTTTCTTTTTCTTTTTTAATTGCTTCTGGTAAGTAATATATAAATTTGAAATTACGACGACAGACACACACAGATTATACCGTTTACGATATTTCAGAGTTTAACGTTGCCAAGTGCACAAATCCAAGCAGAATAGTCTATGACGTCATTGTTGTCCAATGAAAAATTAGTATGAAAAAGTACGGGAAATATGTTTATAAAACTATTGACCGGGGTAATAGTTTTTGAAACTATTGACTGACAAATAGTCTGTAGAATGAAATAGCACAAATATTTCATTCTTTTTTATATAGTAAAAACATACTGAGGTATAATAATAATTTTTAAAAAAATTAAAAAGTGATTTGACATGTCGCTTGTAAACCAACCCATTGATATAACTGTGTAGCACGGCTTTCTGTTTTGCAAGGTGACCTTTACACTTTTATCGAAACTATGTGACATTTAAGACGAACTTTAGGGTAATAACGAATAAAAAGTAAAATGTAATTACAAAAACCTTGTAATTTTTATATGTTGAAAATACTTATGTAATTAAAAAAACGCTTTAGTGGCGCCGTGAAGCGTGTTCCCTTTTAGTCGTCAGACACGTCGTGAGTTCAAACAAAGTCCTTGTTCAACTGTCATTTACAGCTTCTCCGCTAAGCACGATGCATTTGAAATAAATGCAAAGACTGATCGATGGTAGAAATTGTTTCTCATTGGCAATCATACCACATCTTCTTATTTTATTTTAGGTTGCACTTCTGTAAATATAGACAATGCAATTTCCCATTACGGCTAAAACCGTGCCACTTTTACTGTGAAGTTTCGTAAAAAATTATATCCTAGAATGGAAAGTTCATATGCACTACTATTTTTTTCAAATGTCAAAATATAGGGCTGTGTGGCATATTTTCAACATTTATATGCCCCGAACTTCTAAGAGTTTAAACTTATACTAAAATTCTGTACTACCCCTCTCTTCACTTTGGGGTCTTCCTCAGAATTCAATTTGGCCGCTATCCATGTGTATTCATACTGGTAACATTCCCAAATGATGTCTCTATGAGATGAAACATAGAGATTATATCTGGGAACCCGTGCGTAAAAAAAACAAAATATCTATAAATATTATATATCTCCCCAAAAGAGGCGTGGTTTGCAAAACAGCTGTATTAACAAAGTGCAACCTCTTTATAGAAGTTCGAATAATTTGCACGAGTAGGGAGTTTAACCTCCAGTGGACTGTGCTTTAATTGAGCATCGGATCGATCTTGTACACAACACGGTATATTCATATAACATGAACAGGCTAATCTTTCTGAATATGTGTGTAATATCTGCTACTGAACGTAAAGTATCAATCAATCAATACAGCTAATAGAAAGTCAACTAAGTAATCAGTTGAAACAATTGAGCTTCAAACATAAAAATTTGTAGCAATCATACCATCGGAAATTTTCCACACTGTTCTTTATATTTATTATGTTAAGTACATTAAATATTCCAATTTATTCATTAGATGGAATGCAGTGCTCACTTTCCAGAATCCAGAAAAGCGCTTCGGACGCACCAAACTAAGAAAGAAAAAAATATTTTTAAAACATTTATGTTCACGTTTATAGTTGGTTAATAGTTGATTCTACTTAGCATTCAAGCCATAGCTTATTGTGTTGAAATGAAAAGTACAAATTAATCAAGTCATTAAACTTTATAAGTTATTGAAATAGTAAGTTATGGCCATAAAGTTCGTTGGCTCACAACGTACTACTTACAAGAAACAAAACAAATCGAAAAAAATACGTATATATCATACAACAATACATCACGCCTATAACATATATATTTAGATATTTTCAAGGACTTCCTACCATTAGTCTTAATAAACCTTTTAAAACGGTGCCTAATATATTAGTCTCATAAACAAATGTATATAATTTGATATACAGCTTTACTTTTCATGTCATGTTTATTATTTCAACATTCTAATTTAAACCCAACTGTGGTTTACTACTATAACCATATTTGTATACCACATGGAAATTATGGCATGTGTTTTTCTAATAAAATGTTAGATTCTAAATTTCTTTTAATTAATGTTTCAGAAAGGAGGTGAAAAATATAGTTTCTTTATATTCAAAACTAGTAAAATAGATTTAAAACGATTTTTTTTTTGTCCCTGTATGTTACAGAATTATATATATAAAACTTTGGAAAAAGTGTTTGTACAGAGAGAAAAAAAATCATTGGGGCAGAAAAACCAATGCTCCCTTAAAAGAGGGTAGGAATGCCCTTTACCGTCAGGCGTCAAACGGTCATTTTCGGCTACAGTTAGCGTCAAATTGGTTAAAAATTTTACCGTGATTCGTCAAAATATCCTTATCGTGATTCGTCAGAGGTCTCAAAAAATTATCGTTACCGTTATTTTTGGAAAAAATTTAACGTGATTCGTCAAAATCAGTCAATTTTTTTATCGTCTGAAAGAAAGTGTACATTTTATCGTCATGCACCAAAAATTACCGCTAACGTCATTTGGTAAGATTTTTTACCGTTATTGGTCAAAAAGGTACCCCCATTACGACCCTCTTACAACAAAAGATTAATGTTCTGGTCCTTACGATCATGATAACTTAAAAGACTGTAACCAAAAACAATTAGACATCGTCATTTTTAAGCGATTAAGTGATGGACAGGCACTCTTGGTACTGCCAGCTGTCACATAGCTTCAGTAAAGATCGAATTTTAGTTTTCCAATTATAAGTCAAAATTAGCACCGTAGCATGATCGAGATTACTTGTGTCGTAAATGTACAATTGCGTTTAGTTTACTTCGTATACATTTTTATTTCATTTATCATATAATTTTATGTATATGTCTATCTAGATCTGTAATATATATTGTGTGGTTCATAACAATGAGTGGTGTACAAGAGTGCAGTGTGTCATGTTCTGTCATGCTTGACGGAGAAAAAAAAACAGCAACGGAGAATAAAAACATCTACGCAAAAGAAAACGTGTGAAGCATGAATTTTACACGAATTATTCGGTACAAGGTTAAGTTGAAAAGTAAATCAATTTTGCATATTTGCGAATAATAGTTTCAGATATTTTACTGCAATAGGTCACAATATTAGAAATCTGAGACACGGTTTGAAGCAGTTTGAACTTGCTGACAACATCCATTTTGACTTAACAAGGAATCAATTGATTGACATTATTTATTTTGCCGTTTTTATGCATACATTTCCATTCTCAATTTTATATAATAGAATATAAATGCAGCTCTATAGATAAAGAACATCGAAACTCATAAAAAGTTATATAGATCTTAGATAAACGGTTTTAATTATACAAAGATGGATACTTTTAAATTATTACAGTACTCGTAGTTTATACAAAAACATTGTTACAGTTTCAAGTTTGTTACCGTTCGTTTATATTTCGAAGATTAAAAGTAAATTTGCGATTACTGATCTTTCCTTTCTCGTCAATAAAAGTATATATATTTTAAAAAGCCAGACTTTTCACAGTATTCTTAATGAAGTATATACTGAAGATTCTGAATCAGACTTTTTTTTATTTCTTCAAAAAATTAATGATATCTCAAATTCATTTTAAGGAGGAAACTTCTAAACTTACCAAACCAATCAACACCATTACGAGTAAATAAATATTACTATAGCTATGTTTCTATATACATAGGTAATTAAAAGATAATGAAGTAACTAAAGATAAAGAAATTAGGACAGGAAAGCTGAACTTTTCATTGGATATACCACATTTTAGTTTACTACAAAATAATATAAATACGTATTATACGCGTGTTACTCTAAAATCGTTATAGACTATTTTCATATTACCGACTTTTGACTCCGGAGTTTATATTTTTTCGACCCTACTCTGTCGGTTGGACATCCTCAGTCTTGCATCTAAGCCCTTCAGACAGAGTGAAAATTTCATATCTTCTCTCAATTATAAAATTGTTAACTAGAGTTGTAAATCTGTCGTCTCATGCTGATAAAGGGATAGACAATATTACTTAACAAAAGATGTTTAAAACAAAAACACTGAGTTTCTTTTCAGTAGAGATGATAACACACAATGTGTCCAGTTTCTGGTTTTACCACTCTAGGAGACGAGTAATGAAATTAATTGAAATTTTGTTTATTTTAACATTTTTATAACAAATCATTGAAAATAAATATTATAAAGGATGAAGGAAAGTTTGTGATGTTATATATTTCCCTACACATTAAAATAAAATTGAAATTTAATTTGTCTTCCTATAATTTTTAATTTGTATTACATGTTTATGTTTGTAATTAACTAAATATTTTCATTTATAGATATTGATAAGTGTTGTGTATTTACTATTAATTCCTTCATGCAACAATTACCACCTATTATCAAGAAAACCAAAGATGTGGTATTCATCAACAAACAAACTTATAATTGAAGTGACAAATTTATGTTTTCTAAGTGGTGTAAGCTGATTTTCAATCCAAAATCATTTTGATGTGATTTCTTGGGCTTAGTTGTAGGACTGTCCTGGTACTCGGTCAAGTAAGAGCAACGTACAAAAGTAAAATCAAGCTTTCAATCGGTTCAATTTTTATGGAAAATGAACTGTTTTATGTTTTCTATACGACGACAAAACCATCGGAAAGTAGTAAACTTTCCCCCAAAATTGTACCGATTTTGTATTTGATTTTACTTCTTTTGGTTGTTCTTACTTGACCGAGTACCAGGATGTCCTAACACACAGAGTAGGTAACCTGTCGACAAATTATACAATCCGAAGTAGAAAGTCGTTAATATGAAAATAGTCAATAGAACACGTGAGAGCAACAGTTCCGGAATCCAAATACATAAAACAATTGGAGCAATTGAACTAACAAGGAGCAGCAAAATCCATCAAAGTCAAATATGCCTGAGGTATTTGCAACATGAGAACTGGTAGCATTACACAATGTATTAACTGAAAATGCATCGCTAAAGAATGTCATTACCAATACTAATGAAAGGATGATTGCTAACCACCACTATCAGCTACTTTAGAGACATCAGGATAAGCGACACAACTTTTATTTTTCTTATGACTTATCTAATAAACATATAACCCGAATAATTCAGTCCCTCCCCGTAATCGATCTCTCCTACTTGCGAGGTTTACCTTAAAGAAGTAATTATTGTAGATCAGCGGAATATAACGACTGAATTATTCGGGTTTATATACATATAGACTTTGATTTAAAAAGTTTTACTTTAAAAGACATGTTATTTACAGTGTAGTTAAACGGGAAGATAACCCGATTTAAACCATATTTCATCGCTAATTTACATATGATTGATTGATAGATTTGTTTGTGTTTAATACCACTTTAGCAGTATTGGCTATATTGTAATGGCCAGTCTTTTATTGGTGGAGGAAGCCGGAGTACCCGGCGATAAACGTCGACCTTCTGCAGGAAATGTGGCAAACCTTAGTCAACTAAGATTGGAGTAGTACCCACCTACCACGTGCTTGGTTCGAACTCACCTCACTGTTGACAGGCTTGTAATACAGTAGTTATAAACTACTCAGACCACTCGGCCACCGAATCCCCCTTAATTACATATGCATTATACGGCCAACTGTCTGCTACTTACGTGAAGTATAAATCATGTACGCGTTATGTCGCTTCTCCGTGTTCCTCTCTTACAGGTTTCTTGATATATGTCGTTCGTAATGCAATACGTTATCTATACGTCAGCCCAGTATTTCATAATGTTATACATTATCTGTACGTCAGCCCAGTAGATTATAACTCTATACATAATACGTATAATATGTAAGCCCAGTAGTCAGCACTCATTTTCTGTAAAGATTTACTGTTCATAAAATCTTGTATTTTTCGTAACACGAAGGATTTTTCTCCCCTGTCATTGATTGCCTTACCCGTCTTTGACACAACTATTGATTTAATGTATGCTAAAGCAATGCTCTGCAACTTTGTGCTAGATTTGGCCTTCCAATTGTTTTTATTCGAGCGCCGCTGGTAAGCCGTGTGAGGACGAAACGTGCGAACCGCGTCTTACTACCAATTTATATGCCTGCTTTCCGTGATGCGTTTATATATATATATATATATATATAAACAAGTCTTAATTGAAAACAACGTTCAAACCTATGATTGCGTTGGATAAAAACCGCAATTTTTATACGTGTGCATGCAAAACAAATTTCTTGTTAGAGGGGTCTAAATACAGCACAAACAACATTTTCCAAAAGACCAAAAAAGTGAAAAAGTATATTTTAACAAAACGCATTGGACTAACAGGTCGAACAACAAATGTTCTTAAACCCTGCTGACTGCCATTGGCGATTGCCAAATAAACGGATCACCGATGTAATAAATGGATCTTAATTATAAATTTCATACTAAACAGAAAACAATAAACTTGCGGAAAAGATGATATACCGCAAACAACAGGTGCAAAGGTTTTTGTACACCATATCCAGATTTCGACAATTAATGTCTCTTCAGTGATGTTAGGAATCGAAACGGTATTTGGAAGGCCATATAATTTACCTCAATTTAGGATAGACTCTTGAATTTTGAAAGAGTCGAAATAGGATGAACGGATCATATAAACCCGAAGGCAAATATAATACAAGCCCAAACGAAAAAATATAAACAAGTCTAAATTGAAAACAACGTTCAAACCTATGATTGCGTTGGATAAAAACCGCAATTTTTATACGTGTGCATGCAAAACAAATTTCTTGTTAGAGGGGTCTAAATACAGCACAAACAACATTTTCCAAAAGACCAAAAAAGTGAAAAAGTATATTTTAACAAAACGCATTTGACTAACAGGTCGAACAACAAATGTTCTTAAACCCTGCTGACTGCCTATATACTTTAGAAAACTAGTTCGGATGCGTTTAAGGTTTATTCTTAAACATACTTTCGTGTATAAAGTAAAACAACAAAAATACCGAACTCCAAGGAAAATTCAAAACGGAAAGTCCCTTAACAATTGGCAAAATCAAACACATCAAACGAATGGAAAACAACTGTCATATTCCTGACTTGGTAAAGGCATTTCCTTATGTAGATAATGGTGAATTAAACCTAGTTTTATAGCTAGCTGAACATCTCACTTGTATAACAGTCGCATTAAATTCCATTGTATTGACAACAATGTGTGACCAAAACAAACAGACATAATAGGTAAAAATGTCAAAAATAGGGATACAGCAGTCAACATTGTGTTATAATCTCAATCACTACAAAATCAAACAAATATGTCAACAAAGAAAAACAAAATGACATATAGACAAAGCACATACGAAAAAATGAATGTATAAGTTGTGTGTTGTATAGTGGTAATGCAAAACATATGATGCTACGATATATAGTTTAATGACAATAACATAATTAAATTAAAATTTTACGTAAATGAAAAAAATTAAAATTAGTGGCAATCAGATAGAAATCAGTGACATAGTTACCACTACAAAAACATGTCAAATGTATTCAACAATGGACGAACGGTCAAATCGTACAGTAGTGGTGCTCGATGTATGGATTTTTTTTCTGGTCAAAGAAAGACAACTCCAATGATTGAAAAATCTGATCTCTAATGCATTATAGGTTGAGCCCATACATATAATAAAATAGGCATTCCTACAGAAAATTGTATTCAATTTTTCACTGACGAACGTGTGTTTGGTTCAAGTTTTTAGATTTTTCCTTTGCAAATCGTAAAGAGAAGCACGCGTTGTATCGTATTATACACGCCTATAAGCGACAAAACTAAAACATGTATCGGTAAAAATGTATGTGCTTTACTACTATGGTTATTGTTCTCTTTGTTACAGGTAACCAATAAAAAAAAATAAAACAAAAATAAAAAATTGGGTGCTTTTACGGTATTCAAAATCTGTGTAAAGGAACAGAATTATACATTTTGAATAGTCGTTATATATTTTTGATACAGAATGATATTTATTAATACTATTTTGCTATTCCTTCTTTAACCTTTCAAAATATAGCTGGAATGCCTATGTAAAGTAATGTTGGGTTATTCTGAAGAATTCTCTGGTAAGATCTTAATCGTCTCAAATAGAGTCAAGTTTATGATTAATCAAAAAGAAAGTGCATACTTGACATTAATGCAAACATTAAAGGAAAAAAATAAGGCGGAAAAGGGGGAGGGGGTAAACAGTACACATTAGCATGTTCAAGAATTTGTTCTAAACAATCTTCTGTTATCTAGAGCAATGAACGAACAAGTGGTACAGTAAAAATATCCTATAGCTATAATAAAAAACTAGAGAGAGAAAAAACGATTTATCAATCGTAGATTTTTTCGTAATAAAGGCAAAACAAAGCTTCATAAAATCAATGCTATGAAATACGATTTTAAGATTGCTCTTAATTACTTTAAGTAAGCTGAAGCTATAGTGTCTGTTACTAAAGACATTTATCAATTAATGGGTTGATTTTTAAATATTATTACATACAATTTCACTGTTTTGATAGTTTAAGCTTATTCTTCCTCTATTTCTTAAAATCAGACAAAAAAAAGTCATCTCAAGAGCGTGTCTTATTCATCTAGTACTTGTATTAATGCTTCGAACTGGATTTGAATGCGGCAACCATATAGCTAAGTCTTTTGCACTCCTTCTTACTTTACCATAAGTTTCGTCGTTTAAAGGGTTTTCGACACGATCTGACACATAATCTCTGCTTTCAAGCATGCGCTGTCTTTTCTTTTTTAATCTCATTGCCGTTTTCTTCGATAATCGTCCTCGTTTTGGCAGCTCTTCCCACCTTGTTGATATTCTTGGGGTAACGTTTTGATGATTAATATAGAAAACGTTCCCGGTAACATCCATTCTTCTCCGGTGACTTTCGAGTGGTTCACGACAACATCGACAACAGCCGAAAAACCAACTGCACACACCAAGGTAACCACAGCAACCATACAATGAACAACATCCATAGTAATCTATGCACCCACAGACATCACAACTTCCACCATAATCACAACATCCACCACAGCAGCCTACATATTCGTCTTCATCAGAATTCAAAGCACGGACGCGATTACGACGACGATACCTGAAAGACAAGAATGAAAAAATAGATTTTGAAAATTTTAATACGTATTACCAATTTCCTTTGTATATCAGAGTCAAAATTGGAAATTTGACTTAACCTACTGGAACTTTAAAGGTAAAGTTTATAAGTACATTTAAATACACTCGAAAGATGATTCAACAATGTTACAAATATATAGTTATATATAATCTATGCAATTCAGTGCTACAGTTTGCTGTTGAAGACTATCTATCCGTAAGCAAAATGATTTTTTTTCTGATAGACAGTATAAATAGCTTTACTCACGGTACGGTGTTTGTATGGTTAGAATGTTCTCTTTTTATAAATTTCAATACAAAATAATTGACAAAATCCATTTAAAAAATTCACTTATAACCAATCGTTCCGTATTAATAATGCTATCACATGTCAGGAATACAGTACAGTAGAAAAATATCATCAAAGATACCAGGCATGATTTAGTACGCCAGACGCGCGTTTATTCTACAAAATACTTATCAGTGGCACATGCAAATCAGGATTCTGTGAACTTCAGTAAAAATTTAAAAACTCTTAGAAACTGCCCCTGATGTGAAATAATTCGAACAAAATTGGTAATATCTCTTACAAAAATGGCAGAACTGTTGTCATAATTCTTGAACGACTACTTTCCAAAGAATTTCAAAAAAAAAATGTTGAGTTAATACAGCGATAAAACTTCAGATCATCTAAGAAATTGACTTTCTCGGGAAATAACCTGTTTCTAATCATTCCGTAATTTTTGGGCTTTGAAACAAACTCTGTTTTTGGAAACACCTGTAAGACAATAGTTTCTTAGCTCATTTATATGACCAATCAATTTGTGGGTAATTGATAAGTGAGTTCCGGGTCACATATAACATGACATATAACATGCATATTGAAGATTTTACCTTCCCTGCTTTGTACTAAATCGATCTGCAGATCGAATTTTTAATATGCTTACTTGCAAGTTGACAGTATGAAAGAAAATATGTCACCCTATTTATAGTTGTAAATTTGGACTGGCACTGTAAAAATGGGTGAGTACATAAGGAGCACCTAGAGACTTCTCAATGAGTTGTTAAAAGGGTCCTTAAACGTACAGAGAGCGTGGAACTTTCCATACCCGACGCATTAGATTTAAAGTCCCAAATCCGCTCGGACTTGGTTGCGTATCTTTACATCCCACAGAGACACAGCACTCATCAAAGATACCAGGCTAATAACTATGTACGCCAGACGCACGTTTTGTCTTTCACAAAAGTCATCAGAGTCGCTGATTTTACTAAACCGATCTGCTTAGTCGAATTTTTAATAAAAATTATGCTAACTTACAAGTTAAAAGTCTAAAAGAAATATGTCAACCTATTAATGGTTGGAAATTTGGACTGGCACTGGAAAATGGGTATTGAATAAAAATAGTTAAAGGCAAAATCAAGTATGAAGTTGATGAGCATTGAGGACCAAATATTCCAAAATTGTTTGCCAAAAACTAAAAGACGCCTTTATCTAGCATCGTTTCTACTGTCTGATTTGAGAAGTCCAGATGATTAATTGTCTATACATAGCCTAGTAGACCCTTTGGGTCTGTACAACATAGAAGACAGTATGGTGACTTTTAGATTTTTTCTGCACTTGTAATGTTTGTCCATAATCTCCCTTTATGATATAAATGTAGATAAAATCGTGTCTCTTTTATATGTACATATTATTTACTTTGTATACTATAGTAGACCGAATACCAGAGAGAAAACAAGTTGGCTTACCTGTGTCGTTTTGTGCAATACAAACATAAAGCAGTTATAATGGCGATGGTTAGCAAAAGTCCTAAACCAATTAGCAACCAGAACCATACTGAAAAATAAAGAAAATGTTGTTTTTTCTATACAATTTATGCAAATCCTTGAGACAAGGCTGGCACAGTCTTGCTACAGGAGGGGGAAATCCGTTTCGGCTTATCGCCTTCGATTGAAAACTTTTAGGGAGGGTATTCATCTACAATTTTATCATGATGGTAATAAATGAAATGAATTTAAAATGCGAATGTGTTAAACGGCCCTAAGACTGTTCTTAATCATATAAAACTGAAAATAAGTCAAGCTGCTAGAAAACTTGTTCACCTTATTGAATAGGAAACACTAATGGTCATTTTGCCATTCTTCGATTTAAAGATGGCACCATTACTGACTTTCTTGGATGACACTGTATAAGGTTGAATTTTGGAGGAGTAATACATTCTTAGTTACTCTGTTGATGGGTTAAAGTAAATAAAAACAAGCATTGGAAAATTGCTTTTGAACTTATTTGATCTGTCCAATGATACCAGGAACCAATTTTGGTGGACAGCTACAGTCATGCAATTGTTTAAGTACTGCAATTCAGACCTTCTTTGTCATTTGTCTAAGATGAGCAAAACAACTGCTGTAACATGAATTATTTACTTTATTTTGTTTTCTATTAAGTTAATATCATGATTACATGAACCATTTATTAATTTGTTAATAAAACATTCAGCTATGGCTTTGTACAATGATTATAATAAAATGTGAGGTAAATATCAAGCCTAGCATCAAGCAGACAGCAACCCAACTATACAAATAACCAAAAGTCTTCTAGAGGTCAATATACAGTCTTCATTAATAGATAGTTCATACAACATGTTAAGCCTTTAAACTTGATTTTTGAACTGATTTGTGATTTCTTTCTGCAACCGGTTATTGAACAAGCTGACAAATTGTGAAATTTTCGCCAAAGATTTGATACGTGTTGAAAACAAAGAGGTAGGATGTGAAACAGACTGAGAGTTTTTGCCAACATTATTAAGACGGGTTTTTTCGGAAATGTGATCAATTATAAATGTCTGAAGCAGTTTTTTACAAATTTCTTCTTTTTTTCTCTCTCTCTGAAAGATGAAGAAGAAGGAAATTCCTAAATTAAATCAAACCCAAAATTCTATCCGAGATTAAGCGATGAAATGTCTTTCAAATACAAATTAATTCATTTTGGTCAACAACGTGAAAATTAAAAAATAGTTAGAATTTGCAGCATTGTATCAACATTGTCTCCAACAACAATTTGTAGCACTGATAAGTATTTTGATGGTTTGAATATATGTTGAGTCTTTTAAAAAAGATATAAAAGAATATTATTCAGAGTCTGTAATATCTAGTATCTTGTAGTTTTCAACAAATATCACATTGCAACCTAGTGAGTAAAACAAATAGCGTGGGGAAAATGGCCCTATTCAGTGCCGGATCTAGGGGCGTAGAGGGCGTACCCTCCCCCCTCGTCAAAAAAAATTACAATGTTTTTCGCGATTTATATGATTTTTTAGCATAAAATCGTTCAAAAATGTGTCGGTGTATAACCCGTTTTATGGAATTACGCCCCCTTTCAAATATCTTGGATCAACTCTACTATCTCTTTATTCGTCTTATTCATATCTTTATATTTTTTCAGTTATATTTTGGTTTATGTATTGTATCTTAAAAAGTATAAAAAAAAACTTTACTAACCATCATCAATAAAATCCAAAGAACATTTAGGTGAACCAATCCAATTTGTGCCATTACATGTTATTGTTGGAGTCCCCGTTTGTTTATAACTGTCATGACACACATATCCCACTTGGGCGTCTTTTTTGTAAGCGGATAAAGATCCCGCTGGATATCCATGAGGAATAGTACCTGGGGGCTTACATGTTGTAGACATTTTCTACATCACTGCGTATAATCTAACATGTATCGACTAAATCTGATTCGCAGTACTTTAAAAATAACGAAATTACATATGTAAAACTGAATAACTGGCAACGGTCACTGCAAATCAAACAAACCCCACGAAAAGTAAAGGGAAATTTATTACAGTCAGTCTATATGAAGATTTGAATTCTCGAACTTTTAAAGAGTTTACTTGATAAAGGTTTCGTTGCTGACAATTGACTAGTTTTGAATACTCAATAGTGCATGAAAACTCTTTACTCTGCTATACAGAAAAGAAACTTTTTTTATTTAAGTAATTGTCATAGTTTTAGTAGAATTATACGATTTATGAATATAAAATTTTCGATAACATCATATCATTAGCATATTTATTAGCACTGACTACAGAGTGGTTTTCTTGGATTGATTTTCCGCAAGCAGCGGTATCAACCTAATACTAGTAATTCTAATTTATATGTATTATACCAATTCAGAGAACATAACACGTGCTCTGGTGTTACCTTAATTTTGTATAATCGAGACAAAAAGTTCCAAATACTTGAAACCTCTGGAACATCAAATCCTAAAATGCCATTCACAGCACAACTCTGACTTTTGTCAAACGGAGTTGTTTCCGAGGTTTTTTTTTAATACAATTACATTAAATAAAATGTACAGTCCTTTTATTATGCATATCATACTTATGAGGAAGAACTGAATATTAGCCGGATAAATCTTTTGGGACTGCTAGTTTATCAACATACTTTTCTAGTGCAATCTGCATTTCTGCATTTGAATCAATATTATAAATCTTCCAGTTGACCTCAAAATGCCGTTTTTTTTCTTGTCATAAGCTTGGTGTCACATTGGCGTATACCCAACATCTTCTTATAAAACTTTCGTACAATGACCGAAGCCCATAAACTCGGCAATCAACGCAGGACTTCGGGAAAGTTCGGAGAGCCGATGACCTTGCTTTGGAAGTTGCTTCTTTTATTCATATGTATTTTCGAATGCTGTTTCTTAGGAAACTTAAACTGGTTGTAATATTTTTATTTATCTTGTTGCTTATTTGTATTCCGATTTTATGAATAAAATAGCGTTCTAACTTTATTTAAAGGCTAACGTTGAAATAAATGTCACTTATTTAATTATTTTGCAATGAAAACATTTTATGTTAATGATTTTTTATTTCAGACTTGTCAGTGAAAAATACTCAATACCAACAGGTTGTAAATAATCCAACAAAGACACACATTCAATTAGTTTTCTTACTTAACTTTCAGAATACAAATATATCTAATCAGCAAAGGAACTGTGACCAAGGAAACTGACCCAAACAATTAGTTTATCGTTCAGTTTGCTTGTAATGAGAATGACAGTTTTCGTGCTCGTATTTGTTTATGATAATACATTTTGACTATACAATAGTATGAAATAAGATTTGCAACACAAATCTCTTTAAAATCACATCAGTGAAGTTTAACCTAACACATACGTTTGGTTCATATCAATTTATTTATCGATTGAACTGTGAACTAAGTACTTTAAATAATGTTATTTATTTCAATACTTACGTTGGATTTTGTGACGTTTCGCGATAAAGCTTATACATTTTATTTTAATTCTTTTCTATTTTTTGTTTGTTGTGTATATTAGGGGACGACCATTTGATATTCTGGGGGAGGGGGGGCAGGAGGATTTTGAAAATAAATAATTCAGCCTTGATAATAACAAAAATGAATGGTTTGTTCTGTGGTAGTTTGAAAATAAATAACCTGACTTACAATGTATTGAAAATAACTTGGCAGGTCTTTTAAGCCATTTTATAAATGCTATTCTGAAGTATGAGATGGCACCAGATTCTTCCAAAATTCGTCCTTTTTAATATTTTTTTCGGGAAAAACTTCCCAAATCTTTTAATAATATAAATATTAATGTATTTGAAATGTTTGAAAATGGGTTTCATTTCACTTGAGGTATATTGTCTCATGAACATTTACCTCACTTTTATTACAGGACCGTAACTACGTTGAGGCAAATGCCTCATGTTGGAAATTTCAAAACAAAAGCTTGTCTTCATATCAAATTGTTTTCACGGCAAGTGTCTTGCAAGAAGCAAGTTCTGTTCACCCTCTGACGTAGCCCCTGTTTTTTTAGATCCGTGTTTCTCATTTATTTTTATTTTTCAGTGTTGGTTGTCTATAATGTTTGTGGTTTTGTGTTTTATCTGTTCCCGGGTTTGTCTTTTGTTCATTGATTGCCCTTCTTTATGACTATTCTCTTAGTGTTGCATTCTATTTGTAATTTAGTAATTATGTTTTAAAATTGAGTTTTATTATATTTAAGGACCTTTTGTCTATTACAAACTACTTTAAATTGTATCCCAGTTAGGAAATACATCAAGTTGTAATTGAAATGTGTTATAAAAACTGACTTGACATAGTTATATCAATGATAATCAGCCCCCTCTTAACTTAATTTGAAAAAAAAACATAATTGACAGGTATAAAAGGTTTTTCTGCAAACTGAAACATTTTTTGCTTTTTCCTACATATTGTTCTTTTGATGTTGTCCCTAAAAACTAAAAGTCTTACACTGAATCTATATATTTTGCTTTGAAACCAGAATATTGTCAAAAAATTAAAACAGAACTTGCGTTTCAGATTAAGAAAGGGTCTGGGAAACGCGCATAATGCATGATTTTGCGCCATTTTTTCTATAGCTTCTTGAGGCCTTCAGCGAACCCCAGACTCTTCGCTGATTTTTTTTTTCGCCTCGCTCCGCTCGGCGAAAATGTTTGACAACTTTTAAAAGAGGCTAGTTACAGCAGAGCTTTAATACCTTGTACGTATGCAATATATGCAGTTTGCAATTCAGAAGATTAACTTCCAGAGGATGATAATTAATTCTGATTGACTTAATTGACTATGTTATTTATTTAAGAATTTAAAAATTGTATGTTTTCAAATATTATAAATATAATTGTGAAAATAGATAATCTGTCCCTTGTTTTAATGAAAATGAAAAATCATGCTTCAACAGTGCAGAAAATAAATAATCTGTCCTTTTGGTCCACAAAAATAAATAACCCAACCAAAACAAATCCTCCTCAATAATACACAGATATATTTATAAAATGTCGGGGGCATCGGTGACCGAATGGTTTATGTAATTCATCTACTTTATCAACAGCCTGTCAACACTGTGAGTTCGAACCCCGCACGTTGCAGGTGAGTTTACTAGAATTTCAAGCTTTCCTTCTGAAATATCTCTGGTTCTCTCCGGGCGGTTCGTTTCCTCTGCGAATAAAAAACGGTCGCCACGAAATATCCAATAGTGCTAACAGTGGCGTTAAATGTAAAAAACAATCAATTTATCAAAATAATAGAACGTTAAATGTGAAAACCAATCAATTTATCAAAATAACAGAAAAATAAAGTGGAGAGAAAATTATGTAACTTCTTAAATTCTGTAGGTTTATAGCTGTTTTACTTGTGCCTAACTATTGTATCAATTTAAAGGTAGATTTAGAATGTGTTAATATTTTCAATGAAGAGATTATCTTTGAATAACAAGAATATCTATAAGATATTGTTCTGAAGCAGCTGGTCAAATATGATGTCCAATGTCCGTTTTCAATATGTTACCATAAATATCGATAATATAATTTACTTTCATTTCTTTAAAATTAAAATCCTTTAGAGTATTATTTAATTAAGGTTCATCATAACAAACGGACAAATATGGCTGTATTTTACACTCAAAAACTACTCTGAGTACAGACTTACCTGTCCAGTTGGAAAAGTTTTAAGGCCTGGCATCCACTAGATATATAAAAGTTAAATGCATTTTATGTTTCAGAAAGATATAATCTTTTTTGGTTTTTGATGGGCATTTTTTTTCCTTTCTGCAGAAGGTGTAAAAATAAACAAACACCTGAATTACTTTGATACTGTCCACTCAGTTAAACCCTTTAACTCGCCTATAGTTGTGTAGATACTTGTTGTCCATGTCAATCAAGGACAATCAATACAATGCAATACAGTTTTTACCTGAGAGGGAGCATCTCAAAGTTGTATCACAACTTAGTTAATTTTTACACCTTCTGCATGAAGGAAAAAAATGCCCATCAAAATCAAAAAGAGATTTTATCTTTCTGAAACACAAAATGCATTTAACTTTTATATATCTAGTGGATGCCAGGCATTAAAACTTTTCCAACTGGACAGGTAAGTCTGTACTAAGAGTAGTTTTTGGCATGTAAATACAGCCATATTTGTCCGTTTGTTATGATGAACCTTAATTTAGACAAATGACACCGATCTTAGTGCACTATGTATGCTTTTCTGGCCTACCCTCCATCAGGTACGTTTCAGAAAAAAAAAGTTAGGTAGACAAACATCCAATCTGCAACAATTTATTTCACAACAAGAATATGAATTCATGTTTTAGTAATACTGAACAATTAATGCGATAAGACAAATAGACAGAGAAACTTGTCTTACCTTAGGGAACTGACTTTTGATAAACATACTAGTACACCAAATGCCTGGGTGGCTGAGTGTTATACGTAGTCAATAGAAAAGTAGTCGAACTACTGTATCACTAGACTTTCAACTGTGAGTTCGAATCCCGCACGTGGCAGGTGCGCTCGACTCCAATGTTAATTGTACGGGCACTCCGGCTTCCTCCACCAATAGAAGCTTACCGCCACGAAATAGCACAATAGTGCTGAAAGTGGCGTTAAACATCAATCATCCAATCAATCTAGTGCACCAATAATTGTCTCACGTGGAAACTCTATATTGAAATGTACGACAAATGTGACAATTGTACGTTTCCTATTGATAATTTTTGACAGTGATGTTACTATGGCTCCTTCTTGCGGTGTATATAATTCCAAACTCGTTCCCTTTGTCCGTTTCATGAGTACTTTTAAATCAGTATTTTTAGTCTTTTTTTTTTCTTTTGTTATTCCTTTTGTGCTTAGAACTGATCTGATGAGTAAAGACATATCCAACATATTTGAACAGTTTGCTCTTATGTTGTGTAGTAACATCACTTAGTGTACCAGATAAGCAGAATTTACACCACCACATTATTTATAATCCTGTTTCAAACCAGAAATCAAATGTTTGTCGTTGGTTATTGTCTGCCATTTTTGTTTTTTCGTTCATTGGTGTAGTGTAAATCATGCCGTTGAGTTTTCCTTTGATTTTTTTCATATTTTTCATACCGGGGCCTTTTAAAATTTACTATACGGTATGGCTTTATTAAGTAATTTTTGAATGCCGTATGGTGACCTGTAATATTTTACATGTTTGGCGTTTGGTCTATGGATAGTTGTCTCATTGGCAATCATATCACATCTTCGTATTTTTATATGAGTTAAGTGAATAATGAGAAAAGGTAGATAATTATTACAAAAAAGTAATCAGGAAATAAGAATATATTTACTGCATTTTTCTCATGTTGACGCATGCTTACCCGCCCGGAGTACCTGAAATCGCCCCTGGGTTTTTATGGGGTTCGTGTTGCTCAGCCTTTAGTTTTCTATGTTGTGTTTTGTGTACTATTGCTTGTCTTTTCGTCGTTTTTCGTTTTTTGTCATGGCAAGGTCAGTTTGTTTTCGACTTATAAGTTTGAAAGTCCCTTTGGTATCTTTTGACTCTCTCTTATAAATTCGTCAGGATTCAGATCAGTCTGATTATCTGCTTTCTTTACATCGCCAACAAAAGCCTCTTCTCTAGAAATCAGGAGAGCAACATTAATCTTCTGTATCATTGATTATCATTGATTATTCATATCGGAAATCTTTTTAAGATTCTTTAAAGTGTATTTGTCCAGACTTAATTAAAACCAAAAAAATAAGACTAATGTTAACATTAATTTTTTGTTCTGAAATGCTTTTTACGGATAGGCATAGAAACATGATAGTAAGATGGATTTGTTTACTGAGAGCAGGTCTCAACAATTTATGCATTCAACTGTATATGAGAAAAAATCACGAATAATGAAAAAAAACCTCGAGGAACGAAAACAAATATGTTTGAACATATCAAATCCTGTGTTAAAAGAACGTAATGGTTTCCTAGATAGTGTTGTATTTGTAGAATGGATAATAAATAAGCATAACATAACTTATCTTTTCTATTACTGTAGTTCCTTCTTAAGATGTTTTCTCCATTTTTATTTTTTTATTTTGTATTTTAGTTATTGTAAACTATCTTTCTCGTTTTAATCTATCTCTTATACAATACCGTTATTATAGATTACAATTAATTTGCACTGCATGATACTCGATGACTGATTTGTACTTGTTGGAGCCCAGGTAAAAAAATTATAACGAATATGAAAAGATATTAGTTCACCTTAACTTGAACTCGCATATTGTCCTTTTAACCTTTTTTTTTTTTTTTTTTTTTTTTTTTGGGGGGGGGGGGGGGGTCAGAATTTCAACAATTATAATAAAACCAAATAAAAAAAAACAGAAACAGTCATTCCAAGATTAGGGGAGGGTCAAGCGGTCACATTTTTAACCCCGCCACATTCGGTATGTGCCTGTCCCAAGTCAGGAGCCTGTAGTACAGAAGTTGTCATTGGTTCCAGTCTGCAGTATCTGTTTTTCGTAAATTGCTTAGTTATGAATTAGGCCGTTAGTTTTCTCGTTCGATCTGTTTCACATTTTTCTTCAACGGTCGGGCCTTTATTTGCCGACTATGCGATATGGGGTTTTCTCCTTGTTGAAGGTCGAACGTTAGCCTATAATTGCTTACTACTACTACATTTTAACTCTGGTTGATAGTTTTTCTCATTGGCACTCATACCACATCTCCTCCTTTTTAGATTCATGCAAATAATAAAACATATACTTACCATCATCTTTTATGTTTAACGTACATTTTGGCAGTGTGCTCCAGTGAGATCCATTGCATGTTATTATCGGACTTCCGACCAGACTGTATCCTTGGTGACAGATATATCCCACAGCTTCATGGTTGCCATATCGGCTCTTAGTAGACGTCGTATAACCATCTGAAATAGCTCCTGGCTCACTGCATACCATGACGAAGACAATTCAATGCGAATGTTTTACATTAAATAAAACAAAAACTTATCCCAGCATGTACTATTTTGTGTTTTATCGAATAATTCCTGCCCCTGTTAGTTTGGTGGGATAATTTTGGAGGTGGCATAAATTTAGAAGTTAAACATATCCCTTGTCAAGTATGTTATTGTAGTTTATGTAATTTTAAACATAATTCAAAAATGGTTAAAGTGCAGTATGTTGAGCCTGAATAATATATGAACGTAAATCAAAGGATAAATCCAATCTTTTAACCATTTTATAGAAATGATTAAACTATTAGACTTGGTTTAGACGCCTCTTTTGTACTCTAACCTGAATGGATAACCTATATATTTATAGCTAAAGTCACATGTATAGCTACAGTACACCGATGCTCGAAAAATATGTATGGACTTGAAATGTTCAATTGTGAAAGAACAAATGGAATGCGTGTCCAAAGAGATAACAATATTTCAAATGTGTCGCGTTTTTATTGCTGTTCTTCATCTTGCATTTATCAGAGGGTCTTCAACATAAGATGACAAACTCACCATTTACCGCAAATACAAACGCTATTTTTCCCAATACAGTGATGAACATAATATAAGTATACGATTTCGACGTAAAACATAATACTAAATATTAATCATAAACTGAGTACATAAAGTTTCTCTCTCTCTCTCTCTCTCTCTCTCTCTCTCTCTCTCTCTCTCTCTCTCTCTGATAATTGGGACATCTTGTCTGGTTGAATTATGGATCCAGATTAATGTGTGGAACTGAACCAGTAAGTACATATGTACTTGCAATAAATTAGATTTGCACACGTTGTTGGTTTTTCCGAACTCGCATGACAAAGTTGCATAATATTAATTTCCTTTAGTGATATAAATTGGATCTTTCATTTTCAATTTACAGTCATTTGGAGAAAAAAAAATTGCCGAGGTGTTGCATTTCTACAATTAGTCATTTAAGATCGTGAAACGTATACATAATTCATATTTTCAAATTCAAAACTCATAAAGTTGATTTAACTTGAATTTTATCCTTTGATTTCTTTCTAAAGTCAGTCATATAATTTTAAAAAATCTGCAGATTCAACATTATTTTTGAAAGGGGGGGGGGGGGAGGGGCAGAAAACTGGACATAAAAGTACTGATTCCAAAGCTTTCCAAGGGTAAAGTTTTTCTCTTTAAAAGACAAACCAATCAAAAATACATTGCTTGCAGTGCTTCTTGTCTATGTGCTGGTTAAATATTTAAAATACAAAGTGTATTTTAATCTATGCCATTTCTAGAGCTAAATCTACGAATCTTAAGTCTTTGTATATATTTAACTTTTACTGTTAAGTCCTTTTTTTATTATATACTTTTGGCGTGGCTCGGTATTTATACATCCCGCCATTGTGTTATTTTGCTATGGTCATTTTTGTATTCTTGTCATTCATTTTTGCTTGTGTGATTGTCTATAGAGTGTCTATGTGCCATTTTGTTTTTCTTAATTGAAATAGTTATTTGTTTTTATAGTGATTAAGATTATCACACAATGTTGACTGCTGTACCCCAATTTTTACCTACAATGTTTTGCTCACACATTGTTGTCAATATAATGGAATAATACACGTGAGAGGTTTAGCTAGCTATAAAACCAGATTTAATCCACCATTTTCTTTATAATGAAATGCCTGTACCAAGTCAGGAATATGACAGTTGTTTTCCATTCGTTTGATGTGTTTGGGCTTTTGATTTTGTCATTTGTAAAAGGACTTCCGTTTTGAATTTTCCTTGCCGTTCGATATTTTTGTTATTTTACTTTTTTTTTTAAACATATATATAAGTTAACTCAAAATTTATCCTTTTTTATTTAGAAAAAAAGCTCTCTTTCTCTCTCTCTCTCTCTCTCTCTCTCTCTCTCTCTCTCTCTTTAAATTAGTTATTGAATTCCGATTTTCATAAGCAGAAGCGCATCCAACCGTTCATTTATTTGACTAATCTCTGAATATAAATATTCGTATGACTTTGTTACGTTATTAAGAATTTGAATTTTTATTGAGATATTGTTAGTGTAGGTAGATATCAATTTGTAATTCAATAATTTATCTTATTATAATGTTGACATCAGAGATCTCCACTTGTTTTTCAATATTCACATTGTTATTATTTCCCCCAAATGTTACAACAGCATGTTAATGAGATATAATATATATATATATATATATATATATCAAGAAAAATAACCTGAATTGAGTAATTTATGTGACAGGTGTTCCTAGAATAAGCCTCACTTCATCACCAATTTTGAAGGATGAAAATGTTAAGGGCATGGTTGGTGTTGATTATTTATATTTCTTATGGAATATGCCACACAGCGTTAGATTTAGATGAATTTCCCGAGGTAATTAGTTGATTTTTATAGATAATTGCAGGATATTGATTAAGATTATTCAGGAAAAGTTCTTACTTAAAACTTAATTTTAACTATCGAAGTTAATTTTCCAGTTCGTCAAAGTAACAAGTAAAGTTTAACGGTTTAGTAATATATTTGTATTTTGTCTAATTTATTTCTTTATACGCGATTTTCTTACAACTATGAAAACGCCCATTCAATCATCCCAAAGACATGTAGGAAATATATTTATCTATTTTTGACAAAATTAATATCAGTATAAAACATCAAATGTCTGAATTGAATGCAAATACATGTACTCTACAACTTTATATAGCTGAAGGCTGTATGTTGCCCTCTAGATTTCTTTTGGTTATTTGTTGTTGGGTTGCTGTCTTATTGACGAATACCACACGTCTCCGTTCATTCATATCTAACATTCTAATCCAAATGATGCTGACAAGTAACTGTCAAAAAGAATGATATCAGGTACTTTGATATAAAAAAAGTATGCATGTAGAATTTGTAGCCTGTAACAGGTTATTTAATGGTGCCAATTTGGGATTACTGACAGATTATGCGATTTATTCATCTAACCTTTACCTTCTGAGATAAAAAAAAAAATGTGTAAGACTCTGGTATCTTTAAAATAAAATAATTTTTATTTTTTTAAAGAAAGCAGATTAATATATGTTATCTTATTAATATATATCGTTGTATACGTATTTACTTGTAAAAAATAGTATATCTTATGTACTATATTGAAATGCACTTATTTCTTGATGACCCCCGGAAGATAAGTCATAACTAATATGGTCATTCTCTTTGAAAAAAAGATTAATTATTTATTTATCTATATATGATCCAACTTTCTAGCCTGAGATCCTGACCAAATCTTTGCTTCGCGTCAACTGTTCATCAGTGAGCCAAGATCCCAGACTAACAACTTCCATGCAAGCGTTGAAACTCATAAACTCGGCTATCAGTAAAAGTATAAAAAGGAAAAATGCATAGAACTAAAAGAAAATTATTCTTTTTGTGTTACATATTTGTCGCCAATATGAAATGTACAACTATTGCTGTATCCACTTATCTGCGTGATTCGAATAAGCATTCTTTTCGATCGTTCATTAGTTTACCATTAAGTATTAAATGCATATATGTAACATAAACATTTTAACATGCTTTATTTAGTGCCTTTATGTTACATTAGCATTTGATAATGAAATATTAATGTCACGTCTTTTACATAAATTAGAGGCAATATTAGTCTACCGATATTCAAAATTCATAAATCATACAAATCAAGCTAATTCATAAATCATACAAATCAAACTAAAAAGTAAAGACTGAGGGAATCGCATGAATTCCGAATGGAGCGAGACCGGGTGCGTCGACAAGATAAGCATCTCATGTTATGCCAGCATAATAAACAAGATATTTCCTACGGTGCGGAGCATGGAATGTAAGATGTCTGAGCTAGAACTGTAGATCTTTTTTTCAACATCATCTTCGGTAAAATATTAAGCGATGCCGTGGGTTGTAGGTCAATAACATATAGAAAGGGGATCCAACTTCTTGCCACACGACTAGATGATGATGATGGATGGCTGCTTACCGTCCAGCGGCAAATCAATATGCATATTCAGGAGGAGAGCGTGTTAATGTAATATGAATATCAACCCTGCTTTGTACTAGACCGACACGCTGAACCGGAATTTTAACGTGCTAGTTCACAACAGTCCGCAGGAAGACATATCACCTTACCCGGACACATTATTTTAACTCCGAACCGGCCACTCTTTGCTCTTACTCCTTGCTTAGTGGAGAAGCAGAAAATGCCAATTTTAAAGTCTTTGGTTGGACGCGACCGGGGTTCGAACCCATGACCTCCCGCACTCGAGGCGAACACGCTACCACGAGACCACCGAGGCGGTCTCACACGACTAGATGAATGTTCTTCAATAAATAAATATTTGGGATATTGACAGTTTTTATAACCCATCTTCGATTCTGAAACAATATTTTTTGAACTGGTACTTTTATGAAAAACTGAACTACAATTTAAAGAGATGATGATGATGATGATGATGATGATGATGATGATGATGATGATGATGATGATGATGATGATGATGATGATGGCTGCTTAACGTCCAGCGGCAAATTAATATGCAAATTCAGGACAAGAACATGTTAATGTTATATGAAAATTAACCCTGCTTCAAACTATACCGACACGCTGAGCCGGATTTTTAACTTGCTAGTTCACAAGGTAACAGTCCACAGGAAGACATGTCACCTTACCCGGACACATTATTCTGACTCCGAGCCGACCAATCTGGCTCTTACTCCTTAATGCTGCGTGCTTAGCGGAGAAGCAGCAAAAAAATCGAACCCACGACCTCTTGCATTCGAGGCGAACACGCTACCATAAAACCACCGAGGCGGTCGTTTAAAGAGAACACAGGGGAAACGAAAAATAAATATGACAATAATGAAGGAAAACCTCATTTCGTAGTCGGTTCTTTCTAAATTGTTTAACAAAAAGATTTATTTACAAGGTTTACTCAATTTAAACAGTTCTAGTTTATAAGAAATTTGTATGAAAAAGATTCAGTCTTGCAATCGTTTATTCGCCAATTTTCTGTCACAAAAAAGACCTGTCCAGTTCCAAAACACATGAAGATTTATCAAAAATTTATTTGCGTATGAGTGAGTGGATGTTCATGATCAGATGTTGTTTCACACTTTGAAGGTTTTTCCTCCTATTCTCAAAAATCTTTTATCCTCCCTTGTCCTATTAAAAGAATGTTCCTTCGACATTGCAATATTTTAGTTTTGGAAAAAAACAGTTAAAGATATTCGACTGTGTGAAATCAAAATTAGCCAAGCCTCTGAACCATGTTCTCTGCTCACGACATACCAAGCCATGTCCAGGCGAATTTGAAATGAAATATATTTTTTGGAGAGTTTGTTTTGTATATGAACCTTTTATGTTTTGTAAATTTGTTTGTGAATATTTGTTAGGAACAGCTCATTTGTTATGAAATCGCAGCAAGGACCATTAAATGTTAGAGCTAATTTCCTAAAGTTTGTAGATTAAGACTTTGGTTGCCTTGCTTGTCAATCTTAATTACAATGCTTGAACAAACATTTATACAAACAAAGCAAGCAAGCCAACCAAAGTCTTAATCTACAAGCATTAGGAAATTAGCTCTAAATCGTAATGATAACTTGCCGTATTTACACAAATAAGAACATTTTGGATGACATTCCTATTTCATGTCCGCATGAGACACACGCTGTATTTTTTTTATTATATGTCAGGTATAGTCAAACTCTTTCAGTCGAACGAACTAATACAAATAGGAAAATAATTTGACATCTGTTTCAGGTCTATATTAAAAAGGGAATGCAATATATTAATTTACTTTGAATGATATGGAATTCATATAACTCATATACAATCTGTTATAAAGATCAATTCCCATTTATCTATTACTGAACTGTTGAGACATCATAATAATGAATAATGGACATATAGGGAGGAAACATTTTAGTATATAGCTCTTCCTTAAGAAAACAAAAGTAGAAGCTGGGCACCAAACCACTGGCCCAATCCACACCTCCAACGATCAATTCTTCAATTTGAACCAGGTTCCTTAATAGTCCGCAAAATATGTTCGTTTGGTCTAAAAGTTCTTCGTCTCTCATTATTAAATTTTACGCCGTTTTTCCAAGATAAGAAATAATAATTCATAATTAGCAACATTAAAATTTGTTTGTAATGAACTTTAACAGTCATTGACCATCCATGTGACGTTTGTAAACATATAGAAGTTGTGCACATTAACATGTCTCGTGTTGTTAGATTGCCACGCCCTCTCTCTGCGCAACAACTCTTTGAGGTATCTGTAGGTAGCTTCTTGCAATGAAAAATTTCCCTTTCAAACATAGTATATTACCATACAAAATAAGGAATTTTGGTCTGATTGCCAATGCGACATCTATATTCAACACTTGCAAATAACGCGGATTCAAGCTACTAAATACGGCCTTGAGCAAAATTCATACCGTGGAGTCAGCTATGAAAAGCCCCGATATATTAAACAATTCAATAGAAAACAGATAATGGCCTGAATTACAGGCTCATGACTTGCGACACGCACATAAGGAATGTGGTGGGACTATACATATTTGTGAGCGACCTACCCTTTCCCTAACCTGGGAAAATAGTGTATCAGTAGAACATAAGAATAAACTATACAAACAAGTTGGAAATGGCTGGACTCTTCAGACCAGCACGAAGGACAAAAAAAAACTAACTGTGCGTACTGTTGTACGTTTGTTTTTTCTACATTGGCTAGAGGTATAGGGGGAGGGTTGAGATCTCCAAAAACATGTTTAACCCCGCCGCATTTTTGCGCCTGTCCCAAGTCAGGAGCCTCTGGTCTTTGTTAGTCTTGTATCATTTTTAATTTTAGTTTCTTTTGTATAATTTGGAGTTTAGTATGACGTCCATTATCACTGAACTAGTATACATATTTGTTTAGGGGCCAGCTGAAGGAAGCCTCCGGGTGCGGGAGTTTCTCGCTGCATTGAAGACCCATTGGTGGACTTCAGCTGTTGTCTGCTCTATGGTCGGGTTGTTGTCTCTTTGACACATTCCCCGTTTCCATTCTCAATTTTAACATAAAGAAAAAAGACACAAAGCAACAATTTAAGAATACTCACAGTTACTGAAAGCAATATCAAAGCCAACAACTGATAATAAATAAACAATTCTTTTTAAAGTTGCAGTCTAAATTCCCCATCGTTCTTTTCGGTTGGCCAATTTTGTAGAGCTGAACCATTAGATTTAAACGTTAATTTGTTCTCATACAGAATATGGATGAACTATTTGCTACTGGATTTACAGTGAGAAAAAAACAATCAATCACAATACAGTATGCAGTGAATTATCACTGCTGATAAGTTAACCCCCTTTGATATTGGTTTTGCATGGA